TTCCCTATGGGAAATTCCATTGGGACCAAGTAGGACTAAATTGGTGACTTAGAAATGACACTGTCAAGGAACGCTATGGACAGCGGCAAGAGGAGGAGAGTTTAGTGTCGGAGGTCGTGGATGAGTCTCCTCCGTCATCCATTTTTTATTTAGAGGAGGAAAGCGGGGACGAAGATGTTGTGGAAGAGGACGCCAGGGCGGCAGAAGCTTGGTTTGGTGTAGAAGGCTTCCAGCCGTACATGTTTGAGCCCTTGCCAAGCCATTGATCTGACTTTTCTTTCTACACATATTTAACTAATTGAATCTGCTGAGGAGGACGTTCCACGTTCCTGAAAAAGAGAAACTTTTCATTTTCATTCATTATGTTTTTAATTATTTGGTATTTTTTATTCCCATGGTATTGAACATGGTATCTAGTATGGAGTATTTTCCTGGTTATTGATAATAACATCCTTACATTTCACACATTAAAGCATCTTTCAGAATCATGAAAACATCTTTACATTAGTCTGGGAGCCCAGTTTGTTCCAGTCGACCGAGTCCCTCAGTTTGGTCATGATCTCGGCGCTGTCTGCAGTCACCAGGTCTGTGTAGACCTTCCTGCAGTAACTCTGAGCGTCGCTCCAGCTCCTCGGCTCATAAATGAAGTGGTACTGGATGTTAGCCAGTGTGGAGACGGCAAACATCACTGCAGCGACACAGGCCAGCTTAATATTAGCATATTACAGAGTTACATACCTCAGATAAATCAAAGTGGCTTCCTGCAGCACATTAGAAAAGATTCACACCCCTTCAACTGTTTCACATTTTGTCAAATTGCAGATTTCCAGTCTGTCTTTATGTGAGAGACCAACACAAAGTAATTCACTAAACTGGAGATAAATGAAACTATGAGGTTTTACTTTCAGGTAGAGCCCCTTTAGCCTGCTGGGGTTGATCAAATGAGATGAAAATGCATCGCGTAGGCGTCCATGAATATAACCCTCAACTACCCTTCCCTTGCTAAAATATGGCAGTGGCAGTATAATGCTGAGGGGATGCCTTTTCCTTTTTTAGCTCAAACAGGGGAGCTGATTGGAGCTGATAGCAAAATGGTTGGACTTAGATCATAGCGGCAAATAAAAATAGGGGAGAATTTACGACGAGTGAGTGATGGATGGAGCGTGAGATCGATGGACGGATTGGTGCGGCGTCGTCGGCAGTGATGCAGTCGCTGTATCTGACCGTCTTGGTGAAGAGGGAGCTTATTCAGCGGGCAGAGCTCTCAATTTACAGATCGATCTACATTCCCACCTTAACCTATAGTCATGAGATCTGGGTAAT